GAAAGAGAGGGACTTACTTTGTTTACAGATGCTTTTGCTTTCTGCCCAATGGCTTGAAGATATCAGTTACACCCCCTATCCTAGTACTGGAAACCTTCTGTCTTAGGTACTCTGGGAAGCTGATGCCTTTTGCTCCTTAACTCATGCTAAGAGGCACTAGTTCTAAATCCCATCAATACCAATCCGCCCATATATTCCTAAGCCCACACAGTTCCATCCCTCTTAAATTCGTTACAGCAAACCTCCCAAACTCTGAATTGGCCCAAATGTTCTAAAGGGAGGGAAAAAGTTAAGCATCTTTAAATTGGATAATGACAGCTCCTTACCAATTTTCCTACTGACTGTGCTAGTGAAATATGACTACCCAACCTCAAAACTTACAGCAACACTGAAATAAATACAGTATTATTGAAGAACTGCCCTGCAGACTCCTGGCTTTAAGAATAATTTGTTGGATCAAAATCATGGAAACGTTTTACACAGAAGATGAGACATCCGTGGCCAACAAAGAAGAGGAACAAGTCATGTTTTTATTCCTTTCCATCAAAAAAAGTCAATTACATAGAGAATGGACTTGAGGACACGGGGAGGGGGAAGGGTAAGCTGGGACGAAGTGAGAGAGTGGCATGGACATATATACACTACCAAATGTAAAAGAGATAGCTGGTGAGAAGCAGCCGCATAGCACAGGGAGATCAGCTCGGTGCTCTGTGACCACCTAGAGGGGTGGGAGAGGGAGGGTGGGAGGGAGGGAGATGCGAGAGGGAGGAGATATGGGGATATATGTATAGCTGATTCACTTTGCTATAAAGCAGAAACTAACACACCATTGAAAAGCAATTATACTCCAATAAAGATGTTTTAAAAAAAAAGTCAATTAAGTGTGGTAGACATTGTTGGTTAACTTCCCGGCCACCATTCCCCATCCCCTTCCCAGTTCACAGAATCCTGATTTGCTCAGGCATTATACTCAGGAATAGGGAACACTCCCACAGCCCTAGGGGTGAGTCAAGTACGTCTAGGCAAATCATACTTTTTATAATCATTTTAAAAATTGAAATATAATTTACAGTGTTGCGGTAGTTTCAGGTAGACAGCAAAGTGATTCAGGTACACACACACACACACACACACACACACACACACACACACACATTCTTTTCCAGATTCTTTTCCCAAATAGGTTATTACAAGATATTGAACATAGTTCCCTGTGCTATACAGTAGGCCCTTGTTGGTTATCTATGTTATATGTAGTAGGGTGTATATGTTAATCCCAAACTCCCAATTTATCTCCCCCACCCCCACCATCCCCTTTCACAACCATAAGTTTGTTTTCTATGTCTGTGTGTCTATTTCTGTTTTGTAAATAAGTTCATTTGTACCATTTTTTTAGATTCCACATATAAGTGATATCATATGGTATTTGTCTTTGTCTCACTTACTTCACTTAATATGACAATCTCTAGGTCCATCCATGTTGCTGCAAATGGCATTATTTCATTCCTTTTACAGCTGGGTAGTATTCCATTGTATATGTGTGCCACATCTTCTTTATCCATTCCTCTGTCGATGGACATTTAGGTTGCTTCCATGTCTTGGCTATTGTAAATAGTGCTGCTATGAACATTGGGACACATGTACCTTTTCGAATTAAGAGTTTTTCTTCTGATATATGCCCAAGAGTGAGATTGCAGGATCATACGGTAACTCTATTTTTAGTGTTTTAAGAAACCCCCATACTGTTCTCCATAGTGGCTGCACCCATTTACATGCCTACCAACAGTGCAGGAGGGTTCCCTTTTCTCCACACCCTCTTCAGCATTTGTTATTTGTAGGCTTTTTAATGATGGCCATTCTGACTGGTGTGAGGTGATACCTCATTGTAGTTTTGATTTGCATTTCCCTAATAATTAGTGATACTGAGCATCTTTTCATGTGCCTGTTGGCCATCTGCATGTCTTCTTTGGAGAAATGGCAAATTTAGGTCTTCTTAGGCAAATAATATTAATTTCCCTCCCCTTTGCTGGTGATTGGTTGAGGCGTGAGCATGTGATCCACTTCCAGCCAATGAGACGTGGGAGGAAATGTGCTGAGGGGGCAGTTAGATTTTGTTCCCAGATAAAAAAAGATACATGAGGAAAATAGTTGCCCCTGCCTTTTTGCTTTTAACACTGTTTCATCCTTGTTGGAAGACAGTACACAGTTTGGTGCTGTTGCAGCCACATTTCACCCGTGAAAGGAAAGCCAAAAAAATCAAAGAGGAGGTGACCCTAAGCCCTGACATTGTTGAGATGTCTGTTGAATTAACCAACATCAGGGCACCTGTCTCTGGATCTCCTGTTATCTGACTTAATATAACTCTATTGCTTATCATCACTTTGTGGTCAGGTAGGTATTTATCACTCAAAGCCGGCACTGACATGAAGGTTCCCTGACATGAAGGAACTCAGTAGAAGAAAGAGGACACTTCCAGTAACCTCCTCTGAAACACTTCACTATAATCTGCCTCCCCCACCAAACCTTCTTGCGATGTATCTTTGTCATTCCCTTTTCCCCCAACTCTTCCCTTGCTACCTTAAGACCTGGCCTCCTAGTAGGAGGTTTCTAAATGACTATGGAATTGACTTGTAACCAACATAGAAAACATTTACAAGAAAGTACTAACATGCCTTTAAAATGTTTCACGGGGCCATTTTGTTTTATGCCCACAGTTTTCCCATAAGCTAAAGGAGAGTAGGTGTCCCTCTGTCTTTTTAAACAAACAGCTTTAATGATGTATGATTTATATACTGTAAAATTCACATATTTTAGTTGTACAGTTTGAAGAGTTTTAATACATTTATATAGTTGTGTGGCCAGCACCATAACCCAGTGTTAGAACACTTCCACCATGTAGCTCTGCTGTTTTATATCTGAGGCCTTAGACACAAAACTATCAAGAAAGCACCAATTTTAGATAAAAGGAGGAGATACAGGTGCCAGTGGCTACCATCAACTACCTCTCTCTGCAAAGCAGGTTCCCACACCATACCTCACCCCTCTTTGTATCCCCAGAACCTGACACAGCTCCCACTCAATGTTTCTTGATCACCCTCTAGCAACACCTAAAAAGTAGAGGAAAATCTGTGGGAGAGCAAAGTAGGAAGAGAAGATTTTGGGCCAGAAGTCAGGAGAGTCAAGACTGGGTTTGGTCCCCCCTGATCTTTCCCAAGCACACAACCTGAGGCAGTCACACTGTAGCTCTGGACCTCATGTCCTCACGTGTAAAAGTGAGGCTGGCCAAGGAGCGCCAAGAGGGGAGTCTGGTTAACTTTAGCAGGACACTTTCAGCAAATTTAAACTTATTCCAGAACTCCAGTATAAAACAACTAAAAACAGAGCTGTCTGGTTAAATTAGAGAGTGGGGCTGGTCCATCTCCCACCCAGGTCCCCAGCAACATCCCAGTGAAACGCTGGAGGCGTCAAGGAGCACACTGGGCTATACCTTGGTCCT